CCTTCTGACCCATACCGACCATCACACCCTGGTGACGGGCGCGGCCGACGATGGAGGGGAATACACTGCGAGGAGCGTCGTCACCGGCGAAGCCAGCCTTGACCATGCCGGAGCCATTGTCCACAACAAGGGCAGCTAATTCCTCTTCGTCACACATTGTTGTGGTGTATGGTGTCTCCTAGACGAATCACTGCAAAGAAAATGTGTAAGTTTCTCGATACAAAATTTACGTAAGTTTTTGTGTATATTTTGTCATTACAATTTAGGGCAGAGTTTATCACTGCAACTGATTGCCTGACGGTATGAGGTGCGTTCGGTTAATCTAGAGCTCTCTACAATTTAATCTATTTTCTTTATATTCTGCAATTGTAAGATTAATAATAATGAAGATTTGACCTAGAATGATACCTGAAGCTAGAGAAGTAAGAAAATTAGCATGGGAAACTCACTGAAAAATAGAAACCTTAAAGCGAAAAAGAAAATGTTACAAACGATCAGTGGCGATTGCTGATATTACACCACCTACGCACAAATTCAACTGCAGGACTCCCAGCCACGAGCTTCCATTTATCTAACCCAGTTGCAAGCTTGAAGTGAACACAATATACGTGACTTCAATACTAGATAACAACTACTACGAACTTAAGAATATTTTTTTTTATAAATCAGTCATTATTTAGAAAACATTAGGGATTTCCTGTCTACCTTTTATCTGTTGAATATGACTCCTGGTGTAAGCAATACTTGAACTATATATATATATATATATATATATATATATATATATATATATATATATATATATATATATATATATATATATATATATATATATATATTAAATCAAAGTCTTAAAAATTATATAAAGTTACTTTCATTCACGTAAAGTAGTTAATTACTCTTACAGTGTAGTAGCCGCCTAAACCATGACAATATTCGAGTCAGGTTCTTAACTTCACGAGAGTTAATGATATCTAAGTAGCATTGTACACGTCCACCTGCACCCTCGCCGTGTTCTGGTGATCCCGCGGTGTAGCCCAGTCCTCGCTCAGTAACAAGCACCAGGCTGCTGGCGCCGCTCAGGGTGAACGGTCGAGCTGTCACAACTTAGCTACTAGTTACTAAAGTAATTAACTGTCAGTGTGGATTTACTTCTTATACAGTACAGATGAAAAATTCAAAATCTTTACCCAAATCCTGGATTATTTGAGTGATTATTTATTCTGTCAGATAATGATGAATCAAAGGACAATATGGTCGCTCTGCGCTGAGTAGATTTGCCCAGATTTAGTTCTGCTGTCCAGATACTACCCGTACTACCCGTTGGCTATCAGACTCATAATTCTTATTATCAATTAAATGTTCTACAAGCTTCATAAGATACTCCCATGCCTCTTCAAACATTTTTTAGTGTACGTAGAGATACTTATATGCAATTATTTAATTAATTTATAAATATTACCCATTTCATTTAATAAAGCTTGAATTTCTTACAGTCTACACAGGACCATTACAGCGCTTGTTTTTGTTTCATTGGCTGCGTAATTTTCTTCTGAGATTAATTTTTTTGATAACAGATGAATAGAAGAGGCATCTCCTCCTTACATGTGGTAATGTGCACTCGTGAACAAAAAGAATTCGTCAGGGAGGGAGGGGGGAGGAGGAATATGGGAGGGTAGGGGTAGGTGGTTTATGGGAGGGTAGGGGTAGGTGGTTTATGGAAGGGTAGGGGTAGGGTGGTGCATGGGAGGGTAGGGGTAGGTGGTTTATGGAGGAGGGTAGGGGTAGGGTAGAGGGTAGGTGGTGGGAGGGTAGGGGTAGGTGGTTTATGGAGGGTAGGGGTAGGTGGTTTATGGAAGGGTAGGGGTAGGGTGGTGCATGGGAGGGTAGGGGTAGGTGGTTTATAGGAGGGTAGGGGTAGGTGGAGACTTGGCACGTACCATAGAGGTGGCAATTAAAAGTGCCATGCCTCCACTTACACCCTTACCCTACATCACTTCTTTCCTTGACCGAGAATTCTTTTAGTCCACAACTGTACATCTACGACAACAAAATATTGGTCGTTCATTCCCTTACTTCTTCACAGAAATTTGGTCGCATGATTTCATTAAATTTCGCAGTGATTTCTAACTTATCTAAATCAGTTATTCTTTCCTCCTCTCAACGACGAGATAACTTTACTGCATCTGCTACTAAAAGTGAAAAGTTATATTCATATGACTTCGTAGAGCGTAAGTGTGGCGCTGATAAGGGACCCACAGTTCACCCAGTTGAAAAAGTGAAGGCGGTCGACTGCGGTGCCGGACACACTGCCTTCATGCAGACCACAGTGCCCCAAAAGAGCCGTCAGGCCTATAGGACCCATCTTCAAATAGAGGCATATCCCGACTTAGGCCCACTCGACCTACAGTAAATTAAATTACCGACAACTCTTATCAGTCCTCGTCCAAGATGTCTATAGCGTGGTAGTATAATACTGTTTACTCACTATACTTTGCTGGGGAATACATCTGTTTAACAACTTATGACAGCACACAACTCACTAACGAGCACACTACCCATCCACCACGTACATTATCAGAGTGGTATAATTGTTCTCGTGTATTGTACAATAACGAAAGTAATTAATACAATCACGTACGACATGAGCCTCAACGTGGTTCACTAGTTCACACAGCGTCTTAAACAGCGGTCACCCACACCCACACTTACAGCTCCTGGCCCAGAGGTGCGTCGTAAACACACTGGTCGTTGGACTTAGTTCGCTCATTTATATATATTCCCGAAACAGCCCTTGGGTGGGTGTATCCAAATACCTTGTTGGTGAAAACTTGCCAGAGAAATATAAAAATTTCTCAAGGATTACGTGGCCAGGGACGTGATGTAGGCAACAAAGGAGCAGTGAGTGAAATAGAATTTTATTGGTCTTTTAAGGATTTCGTCAGACACGCTTTGGGGCCAAGATTCCCCCACTGCTGGGCGCACTCGTGACCCCAGTTGGTCCTTGTTGTCATTATGAGGGATTCTGCGTAGTTTCCAAGTGGACTTTGAGCTACTTACTTTTTTCGTGATTCATAGCATTATCTTCCAAATAATTTCGTGTGCTTATTAAATATTTACTTGGTGTATCTTATGCATCTGTTGACAGTCAGCCATCTGGTAATGCGCATGTTGTGCATCTCAGAATCCTAGAGTCATGTAAAATGATACCGCGGCTTCTCTGCCAGCCCCCGCCACCCCACCCCAGGTCGTAGTTAATACTGGTAGCTGGCAACTGTGTTCGTGGGTGGCAAACACGGGAAGGAAAACAAGCTAAACCCACACTTGCTCATTAAATTTGGTTTTCTAAGTTTGTTGTGTTGTCGGCGGGGAGGAAGTCGGTGGCTTGTCCCCCCCTCCCCTCCCCTTTCCCTCGCCATTGTTCCTAGTGAGTTTGTCTTTCATAATCTCGTGGTAGTACAGAGTCCCCGAGAAAATCTGAGATAATTAGTCGAAGTCACACAGAAAAACACCGTTCTCACATCCACCCCTGGCCGCATTAGTGAAGAGCATACGTGTTAACACTGTCCAACCAACATTCTTCATTTCTTACATAATTTTAACACTAAGAAAACTAGTAGAAACTTTGTCCTTTCCTAACCGTGTTTAGAAAACCAAAAAAAACTCAACACATAAACAATTACACCTTACAGGAGGGCACAGGAAACAGGCGGTGGAGTGACCTAACATTTACTCAAGCAACCATCCCTTTGGTGACCTTGCTCAGTGTCTCCGCATTCACCGCCTTGCATCACACGTAAACAGTCTCTGAACTTTTGGCGAGGGGGAGAGGGCGAGGGTACTGTAATCGTTCGTGTGTGTGTGTGTGTGTCACTATATTCACACATCTGTAGCTAGGATCATCCAGGGGTCATCAGTGGTAGTATATACACCCGTACCGGTTGTTATATACGATACCTGTACCTGACGCCAATTTGTCACCCCATGTTATAGTGACGCTGGTAGTGAGTGTTAGATGATTGATAATTAATACTCTCTCTCTCTCTCTCTCTCTCTCTCTCTCTCTCTCTCTCTCTCTCTCAAGTGCCCTTACATGGTGATGCTGCGCTGGTTGGTTGCTGGGAGGGAAGGTAGGTGAGGAGGAGGAGGGAGAGCTGGTACTGGGACGCGGTAGTGCTTTAACCCTTGCCAGATTGTGTCGAGGTTTCAGCATTACGCTCCCCACCATTGTCGCACACATGAATACCTCTGATTTCTTCCTTTGCTATGTACAGTACGTCGAGCCGTGAATTTTCTACACGCTCTGGTACCTCCACCTGTTAAGTCATCTTCAGTGTTTATGAATACTTTCTCAACAGACACAGTAGTTTACCTTTTTTTCATTCCGCTTTTTTATAATATGTATGTTTTTTTTTTCTATTTTTTTTTAATATGTTTATCCTTCATGTTCTGATGTTATGTTTACCACTTGCCATTCTTCAAACTGTCGAATGTCATAAAATTTGGACCAATACGTTTAGGTTTAGATTTCTGGTGATCACATCTGTCTGTCTTGTATATACTCAACTCTGGTTAAAGATAAACGTTTCAAAATTAAGCTTTCAGGACCTGACAGCACTTGTAGAAATGTCCCATAGTCCATTACAGGTGTAAAAGTTTGCATCCAGTAAATAGTTTTTGAGATCAAAGTCAAATCATTGATCGTCGCCATCAAAGAATCACTATGGAGGATAAGCATTGAACTTAATGAGTAGTTGAGTAATTACGACTGATGATGATTCATCTTGTTTACTGTATGGATATTGGGTTACAAATAAAAAAAATACAAACTTAAAAGCCAGTGAATATGAATTAATCTTTGATGTATTGTATGAATGCAAATTCATAGACTAATTTGGAAGTTACGGCATTTTTCAAAAACCTGAAATTAAGAGTAACAATTACTTTCACACATTAATTTAGAAGCACTTGCGGTGGACATTGCCGGGGCCGGACTCGTCCTACCCCTCCTTGGTGATCCACATGGTCTGGAAAGTGGACAAAGAGGCCAGGATGGAGCCACCGATCCAGACGGAGTACTTGCGCTCGGGAGGAGCAATGATCTTGATCTTGGTGGTGGAGGGAGCCAGAGCAGTGATTTCTTTCTGCAGGCGGTCAGCAATACCAAGGAACATGGTGGTACCACCAGAAAGAACTTTGTTGGCGAACAGGTCCTTCCTGATATCAATGTCGCACCTCATGATAGAGTTGAAGACGTTCTCTTGGTCTCCAGGCACCGAGGAAAGTGCATATAACACTTTCTACTCGTATTGTACACCACATTCCCATTCCGTCTCCGAGTGTCGCATTAAATGTGGATGGTCCGAATTTGTGTATAAAGCCGTAAAAAGTATTCAGAAAAATACGTCTTTATCTGATTATTATATTTTGGCTTACAGATATGTTTGTGCTGAACCTATGATGTCCCGAGGGCGTAACAGAGCCTCTAGGTGTCCAAGACAACACGTGTGATAAGGTAATGGAGGTGAATCTTCATCATGTTTATTCTTGCTTTGAAATATGGTCTTGTTGTTGTTATGAGTCCATTGTGTGTGAGTGTAAATTTATCATCGTCCGGGGCGTCACTTTACACACACACACACACACACACACACACACACACACACACACACACACACACTGATGAACCCTCCCCTGACAGTATAAATATTTGCTGTTAAGATTATAAATAAATAAATAAATAAATAAATAAATAAATAAATCAGACGTAATAACCAGACACCATTAGCACTTAAGTCTCAACCCCATTCCTTAACAACAAGAAAAATGGCTCCAAAAACAGAGCATCAATAAAAGAGATTCTTATCCTCAATTTCTTTTTACTGGCGTCGGGAATTCCTTGAAGCGTTGGCGAGGTATTGACTTCGTGTCCAGATATAGCAAGCTGTCTCTCCTGCGACCCCCCGCCACCAAACACACACACACACACATAGACACACACACACACGCACACACACACACACACACACACACACACACACACACACACATAAATGGCGTTTGTTTATCCCCATTTAGCTAAATTGTAAAAAAAAAAATAGTGTTCTAGTTTGTCATTTACTGTGGCATTTATCGTATATTTCAACGTTCATGTGCTTTCTTATTAATTGGTGTAGGATGTTTTGGGGTGATTCTGTCTAAGTTGTTTTGGCCGAAATGTTTCTCTTCATTGTGACGCGGTGAGAACACTAGCCACCTGTTCCGCCAAGTGATGTAACGTTATCACAGCTTTACGAGTCAGGGGACAGGAATTTGAAGGAACATGTTTGTACAAATTTATGGTGTCCTGAAATGATTGTTGATACTTATTATTATCTTTAGTAGTAGTTGTTGTTGTCGTTGTTGTTGTGGTGGTGGCAGTGATGTGTTTTTTATTATTAGATATTAATTTATTTATTATTATCGCAAGATGATGCTAAAGTCTCACGCTTACCTTTTTGTCTCTAGTTGGGAGTCAGAGTAGTGAGCTGAGTTAAAGTGACAATAATTAATTTCTTAATTCAGCCATGAGGGATACAGCAGCTACTTCTTTTTGAGATTTAGAGATACTAATACTTATAACAGCCATGTTAGAGATACGTAGTTGGCATGACGGCCTGTCAGGGTCAGTGTGGATACAACACACAACTCAAGGAAGCAACGTGGCTCATGTCACTGTACTCAATCGCCTTCACTTCCTCCAACCTGCACAGTGAGGTACCCAATTACAGCTGGGTGGACTTGGAGCGCCCCGTGATCGAACCCTAAGGACAGGAGACGAGCGCTGTATCCACTTGGCCGCCACACATCCGGGCCCTGACACATACAGCAGGTGGTGGAGGCCAGACGAGGAATTGACGCCACACCACCAGCTGGATCCACCAAACAAAGCAAAGCCCCAAGGCAGGACGAGCTGCACCTGTTGCAACTGCTGCCTCACCTTGTTTGGTCTTCATCTGCACGTACTGCAGCTACCCCAGCTGGCCAAAAAGGGCTGTGCCCACCCTTGTCTCCCTTATCAAGGGTCAAGACACCTCGCCCACACCTGCAGGACTTCTGACCCATCGCATGGATGGTAAAAACGATTAAAAACCTTACGTTTCTCTAGTCATAGTTGTGTAAGAAGTGACTTGAGCATAGTGAAATATAATAGTTCTTCCTCTTCCTCTGCTTGTGGTCATATAGACAAACTGAAAATAGACAATCTTCCGATAAGAATAGTGAACCTTAGGTCAGTATGTTCGGCCATTAACGGCACAGGTGATGTTACTGTATACACATCGCCACGTCATGTGGACAGATTGGTGTAGGAAATTGTTACATTGTATAATATTAATACTAAGGACTACTGTACTGTGCAGATATTGTGTTACTGTTATGATATTGTCTTCTTGAAGGTCACTGTGTTAGCTCCAGAATGAATCTTTCTTCATCTGGCCACAAACTTCTGATGGATATGTGTTATTATCTAACACTGTTATAAACGCTGGTAACCAGGTATAACGCAATGTGCAACACCCTGACCCTTCATCGTGGAGGCTAAACACTGTTGGAATTAGTTATTATTGTGTTAAGTCACCGCCTGTCCTGAAAAAAATATAAAATAAATCGTAGTTATCGGAGTGTGAGTTAGCCGCGACGGACTGGGTTACTCTGCGTCCCATGACCTCTCTCCCCCGGGTATAGGAAATACCACAGCTACCTGGACTGATACGTGACAGTTCTCCATATTCTGAGCACTGGTAAACACTGTGTTGCCTTGAGCGTCACTCGAACAGGAGAACGCTGATGTCTAAAGATAATCCTTGGAACGTGATAAGGGGATTACGCTTGGGCGAATGTTAGTGGTGAGGATTCACCTGGGGGGAGAGATGGGGAGATTGGTGATGAAGAAAAGGTCAGGAAGACTGGCAGAGGGGAAGACCTGCCTGGGGAAGGTAGCGGAGGTAAGGGCGGCAGGCAGAAGGGTTCAGCACGTGACTAAGCTCTACATTTTGTTATATACCCGTAGACTCCCTCACCTTTCCTCGCCGGTTCGTAAGAGGTAGGTGAGTGAGAGTGGATGTGATGGAGGGAAGGAGGTGGAGAGCGAGGGGGTAAAGGGCAAATGGGAGCAGCCGTCCTGCCAGTCACACACAGAACCACACCCACCCTCTCCACCACACACACACACACACGTTCGTTCATTCTCTTCAGAAGGTTAATCCTTTCATCCGCCTTGCTTAAGAAAGCTAATACTTCCGTTTCTCCATCTGTCTCTCGTAAAAAGTGAACAATGTTACCAGCCTAATGCATTGAAGACACTTCTTATCGTCAAAATATGTTGCTATCCCTCGCTAGTCCCTAAGACTTCAAGACAAACATGACCACTGTGTTTACATCCACATCACAGGTGTTCCTCTTGGTCAAAATAAAACATCTCAACATATTCACCACATAAGTACACACTCATATTCTCGTCTCTTTTATTCAGGGTAAAATCGCCATATAATTTTAAAATGATCCATATTAATGTAGTTTCCGTTTTCCATTGGCGTTTTAAGTTCAGCCAAAGTAAACAAAGCAGAAAAACGGCGTCTAAAAATACAGATGTTACCGCCAAGTTGATGTTAGGGAGTGAGACGTAACTGGCGTATATCACGGTGATGTTGACACTACCTTCCTCCTCTAGCAGGGGTGGCGCAACATGGTAAACGATTTGTATCACGTAAAGATTAGACACCCAGCTTGAACGAGGCTCCGAAGCATGAGTCATGCAGCTGTGAATCCAGTTTTTGACAATCCTTATATGTGTAAGAAACTTGTATATATTTGCTTTAGTCAATACAACTCAGTGTTATTGTCTAGTTCGTGATCTGCAAGTTGTAATATTTCTTCCCTGACGTAAATGATCGTATTTTGCGAGTGATAATTCAAATGGAAGTGCTTCAGTTTATTGTGAGTGAGATAGTGAGGGGCTTCGAAGCTTCAGTAAACTTGAGACTGAGAGCGGTGTTGGTAGGAGCGGTCCCGCCAGTTCACAACATACTTGACGTCCTGCCGGGCTGAACCACCTCGCTCCTGGGGCCTACTAACTGTCCGTCGCAGTTAAATACACCTGACAACGCTGAAGCGGAAGTGATTATGTGGTAGTGGTGCTGGGGAAGTGATTGCGGTGGTAATGGTGCTGGAGAAGTGATTATGGTATTGCTAATCTAACAGTCGTACCGCCAGACTCGGGGTCATATGTGGACAAGATGGTGGACCTGTACCTGCCAGACTCGGGGTCATATGTGGACAAGATGGTGGACCTGTACCTGCCAGACTCGGGGTCATATGTGGACAAGATGGTGGACCTGTACCTGCCAGACTCGGGGTCATATGTGGACAAGATGGTGGACCTGTACCTGCCAGACTCTGGGCCTACTCTTGGTGATGGAGTCAAATTTAAATATTTCAGTAAGTTTATATATAATTAATAACCTAGGTAGTAAATGGGTAAGTTAAGATTGGTTTTAACGTCCCCGGCAGTTTCTATAGAAAGAGTTAATATTTTGTTGTTTGCACTTTAGATGGAGGTTACGTTACCTTTCAACATTCTTGCATAGTCTTTCTTAAGTCCATTAAAAATGTAAAATTACCCAAAGCGCTTCAACAAAGTTGCTTTCATTGGTACCAAATATCAAAATAAGTACTTTCTGTTTAATATACGAACATCTGACTTCTCATGATCTTAAATAACGACGAATAGTTTATTATCACAAATTATTCTACCTTTGTTTCTGATATTTAAATTAAGAGGTGACGCCTGGTCAGTCAATTTTCTCCTGTACACAAGCAGTACACAAGTCCCCACGTGTGAGTACTGGATGGTGAGGCTTGTTTATTGTAAAATATTTAAGTTTATCCTGGAAATGGCTGATATAACCAAGTTTTCTGGTGAACAGATGTTAAAAGTTACTCAATGACACAAGAAGTGAACTGACCCAGGATGTATTTGTTGTCTTAAAGAAGTTACTGATAAAGTTTCTGTTGGATCACTTGTATTAGATCCTTGTGTTCACTTAACGAGAATTGTGGAGTTGACCTCCACCAATTATTCAAAATACAAAACACCGTAAACACAGCTAAAGATTATTACTATGAGCAGCTTCTAAACAAAGGTAAAGAAGAATTCATTTTGTTGTAGTTTGATGAAAAAAAAGAATAAGACTTTGGTTGTAGAGGAA